ACACTCATGTCCCCTCTTAATTCTGGTTTCCTATAAAAGTGGCTAAAAGTCTTGCAAAACAAGCCACAGTGAGCCCTCTGGACGACCTGGGCCTCTGCTGCGCCCAGCATGAGGAACCCTGTGGTCTGGGCAAGGGTAGGGGGGTAGCTGCACTGGAACATTCCAGCACTTCCCCACCGCTGCTGTGAAGAGGGCGGATTGCAGAGCTGGGTGTGCCTGGCTGTCAGCACAGTGGGTCGATGATTCAGCTGGAGGTGGGCGTTCGGCCACTGGGGCCCATCACCTGCTGGGGTTGACGTTGGAGCACTGCCTCAGGTCCCCACCCAGCACGCACAGCCATCCAGGAGGGGCATCGTGCCCAGAAAGGCTGACCAAGGTCTGTGTCGGGCCAGAAGATGGGCTCCTGCTCGGACTAGAGACCCTGGTTATGCCCTTGTGTTTGTGTCATTGGTCTTTGTGGCTCGGCAACTGTGGAGCATTGGGAAGCCGTCCGGGTGCTCGTGTGCTGGCGGGCGTAGGAAGCTGGAGCCACTCCTGGGCCATCCCAGCAACCCAGGCTTGGCAGTGAGGCAGTCTGGGGGGTACGTACGTCTCCGCTCCTCCTTTCTCTGCTGCTCACCGAGCATGGATTAGCGTTGCCAGGCAGCATGTCCCACCCAGGGACTTCCCCAGCAGTGTCCCGACCTTGTCTGGCTGTGAATCTCAGTGGCTCCACTTGGATCTGAGTCCCCTGACGCCTCGGCTGAGTTGTGCTGACATGGCCATCGTGGAGCCAGCCTTTCTCAGCAGCCGGGGTGAAGCTGCCACATGGCCAGTGAGAGCAGACTTCTCTGCCGAGGCTCCTAGTTCTTCTGAAGTGGGTGCGTTTGCTACTGGAGCCCGAGGCTGGGCTTTCCCTACCACCGGCCTTTATTCAGAGGCACATGGGATGGGGGGCTTATCGTTGGCAGGGAACCCCAGAGCCATAAAAACCCTACCAGGTGCAGAGGTTCTGGACGGGGGCCTGGAGGCTAAGAGAGTGATGTCCTGGATGGAGGAGAGGAGCTCACCCAGGTTTCGGGGCATTCAGGGGTCAGAAAGTGGCCAGTGGCTCTGCAGCCACAGCACGGACTTCACGGAATGGGGCGTGGCAGTGGGACACGCAGCCCTGAGGCCTGGCTTCCTGCCGTGGTCAGTGGCAAGCCCTCCGAGGTCAGGGTTTAGGGGGTACATCTGGGGTCAGCAGGGGGTGAGGAGAATGGCGGTGCGGAGACTCACAGGGACAGGAGCATGGTGCCGCTGAACAGGCCTGCCCTGGGCCACCACAGCAGGGAGAGGACCTGGCTGGGGTGGAGTTCCAAGAGCACCCAGCCCCCGCCTGGTTGCAGCCTGGTTGCACGGGGAAGGAGGGCGGTACTGGGGGTTCCTGCTGCAGTTGGGTGCTCTCCCTCCTCCTGAAAGGCCTCTTTCCCCTGCCTGCTGACCTGGCTGCGCTAGTCAGCTCTTCCTCTTTTTGTCTTAAAGTGACAGTTTATGTTTTTAATAGTGGTGTGTATAACACAGGCATGCACAGGTGGGTGGGTCATTGTGGGGCCTTCACCTTCAAAGCCAGGGACACGCGTTGGGTCCTCCCATCTAGATGCTCTTGCCCATCAGCCACGTGTAGTTTGACCAGAGTCATGGGAATACACTGCCTCTTGCCACAGCACATGACATCCTTCACAGGTCCCACCCAAGTCCGGGTTGTGCACCGTGAGCCCTTACAGAGCCGCCCCCAGGAGCCGCGTAGGCTGTTTGAGCTTCAGGTCTGTCCTCACCCATGAGAGCACAGGGACCGGCAGTCTGTCCCATCAGCTGGTCTGATACGGGGCAGTCTTGTCAGTCAGTAGGGTCCGTGCGACGTCCTGGTCTGTTCCCCGTGCCCTGTGATTTCTGTCAGGCTGCCAAGGGGTGGAGCTCCGGTCCACCCCACCTGCTGAAGCCGGGTGCCCGGGAGGAGCCAGCTGCTCACTGTGCGTGTGTGTCATGTCTGTCTGTCTGTCTGCACTGACCCCTGGGCCAGGAGTCAGCTGTCTCTGGCTCACCTGGGGCTGGGGGCAGACCGGAAACAGAACCCCACTGTCACTCTCACGGAGGATTCAAAGTAACAGAGACCGTGGTTACTGGGAGAACAGAAAAGGGAGACACAGAGTGAGTGTGGGGGGGTCCTGCCGGCAGCTCAGTGTTGCCTGAAGCAGCTGACACAGGATGGAAGAGAAGAGGCTGGAAGTTAAAGCTGGAGAAGGGGTGTGGCAGGCGTGGGTGACAGGCGCGCTGAGTGATGGGAGATCCACAGTGCGGATGTCACTGCCAGGGGACGAGTGGTAGAGCTGCTGGGACAGCCCTTCCCTCCCACCAGTCTCTGTCCCCCAGTTGGCAGTGCCCAGTAGGAGCCGCTGGCCAAGCAGGTGTGCTTTAAAAAAAATATTTACTTACTTATTTATTTATTTATTCTTAGAGAGAGGGGAGGGAAGGAGAAAGGGAGGGAAACATCCATCGGTTGCCTCTTCCACTCCCCCAACTGGGGACCTGTCCCACGACCCAGGCATGTGCCTTGACTGGGAATCGAACCAGCGACCCTTCAGCTGATAGGCCGAGGCTCAATCCCCAGAGCCACAACAGCCCCGTGTTTGGTGGGTGCCCTCAGAGAGCATGCGGTCCTGATTAACGTGCCCTTGTCACTGGTGGCATTCGAAATGGAAATGGCAGCAGGGGGCTTAGTGCTGACTGTCATTTCAAAGCAGAAAATGGCGACTTCAAGGTTGCCAGCTCCTAAGGATTAATTATCCAAATCCAGAAGCAAGGGAGAGAATATTTTTGGTAGGAATTTCAGGGTTGGTGTCGTCTTCACTTCAAATCTGTGTCGTTATAGTTGACTAGAGCTTTGAAGGGTTTTAAATGCTGCAAACTGTATCCAGGAGGCCAGAAAATCAGGCGAGAAGTTTGCAAAGGGCCAATTTTAACTTTTTACTCTAACAACTCCCGATTTTTTATTGCTTTAAGTTCGGGCAGTGCCAGCTTAAAATGTTTAAAAAAGCAAATTCTAAGTGTGTAGCCCGATGAGTCACAGAGTGAGCGTGTCCATGTAACCGCCACCCCCCAGGAAAAAATGGACGGTGAGCAGCTCACCAACGTCCACTCCCCTCCCTGCTGCCCCCCTTCCCAGAAGCAGCCGCTCTCCCCGCAGCTGACGCCAGCCATCGTTTTGCCTGTTTGAATGTTAAGATGAGACTTGGAGGTTGGTTGGGTGGTGGTGTGCAGGCGAGGAGGGAGAAGAGGGTGTGGAAGTTGTTGGTGCGCAGAAAACAAGGTGGCTGGCCCCTGGGGCCAGCCACAGCCCTGCCTTTCTGTCCTCTGTCGCTGTCTTTCTTCCACACCCGCTCTGTCCTTCTGTGTCTCACTGTCCCTCCGTCTCTTACACTGTCTCTCTCACACTCACTCTCTCTTGCCCTGTTTCTCCAGGGGGGTAGACAGGGGCTCGGCCCACTTCTTGCCCGTGCCCCCTGGAGTCACTGGTGTTTTAATTAGTGGCGTGTGAACTGTCGGTTGCAGCTACTCCACAGTTTGTTGAACTCCCTCCTCCTCCGCTGCCTGCCCTCTGCTCCCTTTCTTTGTCTGGCGGTTGGTGCTGGAAAAGATAAAAGCGTCCTCTGTCCTCCTGTGTGTGGGGCACGTGTGGGAGGCAGAGGTGTAAAGGTCAGTGGGCAGATCAACCAGAAGTCCGGGAGTTGACTTCAAGGGCTCTGCCGCTCCTTGGCCTCTTTGCCCTTATGCAGAGCCCTGGTCAGTCACATTCACATCTCCCGTGTCAGAGCCCAGCTCACAGGTGTGTCCCCGACTCCTCACCCTGCACAGGATCACTGTTCTCACAGTTCCCTGGGGGGCTCTGGGCTTCCCACTGTTTGTATATGGCTCAGGGGGATGGGCCTCGAGCAGGGGCCCTCAGTGGCCTTAGCTGTGAGCTGCCCCTGAGGCAGGCTGGGGCCAGGTCTGGGGTCTAGAGCAGGGCAGGAAGGAGCCAGAAGTGAGGAAGAGCACGCGGTGCGTGCGTCAGATTAGCACGCCCTCTTCCGGCCCTGTGCTGCGGCACACTTTGCAGAAGGAAAGATTAACTCCGGGGCTCCCCCTGCCACCAGCGAGCAGGCGGTTGAGGTCGGCTTGTGTGGACTTCCGGGCCTTCTTCCCTTTCATTGAAAAAGGGCTCCTACCTTTTGTGAATTTAGCTTTGAACTCAGTGGTAGCTTAACGGTTCTGCAGTCACCTGCTTTGTGTGCTATAAATAAACTAACTTGCAAAAGTTGTGTTGCGGTTCCCATGGCATCAGAACCCCCTCTCCTTCACCCTCCCCCTTCAGAAATGCTCCTCTTGGCCCCTGAGGCAGCCCAGCCAAGGGAGCCAGAGGACCCCATGCCAAGATCAGGGTCAGGGCCCGTGTCAGTTCCCTCCATTGCCAGTGAGCCAGTCTGTGGTTGGGACTGTTCCCAGGGGACCCTCGGCCCCGGTCTGGAGCCTTCTTCCTCCCCAGCTAACATGGGCTGATGCACAGCTGCACGCCAGGCCCCTGGGAGGGAGTGGGAGCTTTGGCCTGGCCTCAGGGGCTTTAGCCTCTTGTGCAGGTGGCCTGGACAGACCGGTGCCTCCGGGTTTCTTTGTGAGTTCCATCAGGTGGGGTTTCTGGAAGCGATCTGAAAGCCCTGAGTTCCACTGGTGGCAAATAGACTCTTCAGTCTCAGCCCCTCGGGCTGGCTGTTTCCCAACATGTTTCCTACACAGAGGGGTGAATGGAGCCGTCACTGACACAGATACCACCCAGAGTGGGGACATGGAGCCCAACTCGGGAAGAGCCTCCTGGTCCCTGAACCTGGGCAGGGCATGTAGTGGCCCTCCTCCTCCAGGCTGGCCTCCAGCCAAGGCCCAACACTGGCTGTGGGTCCCTGCAAGCCTGGCGGCTCTCTCACAGCTGGTCCTTCTCTGTCTTGCAGGTGTTGGGGTTTGAGATCGATGCTGTGAACTCTGTCCAGTTTTCAAACCACACAGGTAAGGAAGGCACGGGCTCAGTGGAGTGTGGGGGTGAGAAACGGCCCTTTAGAAATCTGGGGTCTTGTCTCCCCCATCTGACGGACAGGTGAGCCCAAGGGATCACCCCCTGCAGAGGGTGCTGTGTGTGAGGGTGGAGGGTTGGAGTCTCCGGTCTGCAGGTGTGGCCTGCCCATCTGAGTCTCAGCTTGGCAGCTTTGAACTGGCTCGCCTGTGCAGGCAAGTGCAACCAGGAGGAGTTTGCTCCTCTGTACAAGGATGGTATCCTGGCACCCACTCCCAGGCTTATGCCCCCCTATGATGCCACGGTCTTGGGGGTGGTTCTCCATGCTGTAGGCAGACATGTGGGTGTGGGTGGGCCCTGAGAAAGTCTACAGAAGCTGCCAATCACCACAGAAGCTCCCTCCCCTCATCCTGGAATCTGGAATTTTCTCTGTTAGAAACGGAAGCCTGGGGGAGTGCGGTGCATGGGGCTTTGAGGATTTCTGGACACAGACCTGGAAGCAGAATTGCTGGCTGAAGGGCAGTGAGGGTCGGTGCCCTTAGAAGGCCCTGCTGTTAGTGTGAGCCCCAGCTCCTGGACTCCCCAAACCTGCTGACCACATGGTTCCCATGGCCGCAGAGGCAGGAGGACAAAGCCTCCTTGGTTCTTGGAAATGTCCCGATGTTGCCTCTTTGACATTACTCTGAACCTGGGCATGGAACGTCCTGGAAGCGCCTGGCAAGATGCCTTTGCCTTAGCCCGCAGGAACGATTTTCTGTAATTCTCTGGGGTGCAGTTCTTGGAAGGGAAGGCGGCTATGATAAGTTTTGAACAGGGCGGGAAGAATTCCATGTGGGTTTGGAGGAAGAGGCTGCAATTCTCACTCAAAGTCCTTTTCTGCCTTCTCTTTGCTGAGTGTGCTGGGCGCTGTGAAATTTGCAGAAATCCCAAAAAGTTTGAGTTGGTTCAGCAGACTCCCCTGAATCCTGCATGTTTTTACTGCCTGTTTTCACTACCCTCCTTTGTTTATTTTAGTGATTTGGACACCAAATGATGGGATGAAACTTAGTGGTGAATGTCACATTGTGGCGTAATGACATTAGCTCACCAAAAGCAAAGACCCAGCTCAGAAACTCCTGCTGTCCTTCCTTCTGGATTCCAGGATGAGGGGAGGGGCTTCTGTGGTGATTGGCAGCTTCTGTAGACTTTCTTAGTGGATGGTGGACTGGCCATCCTGAAGGGTCTGAGGCAGCGGGAGCCTCTGCCTGCCCTGGGAGGGATGGAGGAAGAACAGACCACCATGTGTCTGGGAGCTCTTGCAGGTGCAAGCACCGTTAGGGCCGGGATGAGCACTTCCTTCCCAGTGCCCTCCCACCATCCCTCCGTGGCTCCTGGGAGGGCCTCCCCACCCAGAGAGCAGAGCCCCTTGTCCCCAGCCTTCTCAGGCAGCTCCTACTGTGGGTGGCTGGGAGCAGCCTGTGTTCGGGCCCACAGGGGCGGCTGTCTGCGCAGCCTCATCAGAGGGTCTGCAGGAGGTGGCCTCCCCAGGGCCATCTCTGTGGCTCAGGTGCCAACCCCATGACCTGGAGAGCCAGGTGAGGCCTCACTGTGCCCCTGAGCCCGTGCACCCCTTTTCACCGGTTCCATCCCCCTCACCCCTGCCCATACCCTGCTGCTCAGGAGCGAGGCCGACCAGTTTCTCAAGCCCACTCCCTGTGGCAGTGTGGCCGCTGGCACCTGAGGAGCCTCCTGGGAGCAGGGTCGTATTGCCCACTGTGAGTATAACACACCCATGCAGCCTGTCGGCTCTGTCCTAGACTTGGGACGTGGGCATTCTTGATATTTTTACTTTTTTCTTTTAAGAACTAGAAGCACTTAATTGATTTATTTTTACCACATTCCGCTGCAGCAAGCGTCTCTCGAGGAATGACTTGCTGTAGGGCTGTGTGGCCTTGGCCGGCTCGCCCCCGTCTGTGCTTGTCCTTGTCCAGCATGGGGCTTCGCCACCTGTGTGGCAACAGCCTTGATGATTTGTTGTTCCCACCACGTGGTCCTACTGTGTGCTGAGCACGAAGCTGACACCCACCTTGAGAGTTTGCGCCCACCCTGGGCAGGGCACATGCCTGGATTGCAGGTTCTGTTCCAGTCAGGGCAAGTGGGAGAGGCAACCAATTGATGTTTCTCTCCTTCTTTCTCCCTCCCTTCCCTTCTCTCTAAGGTCATTAAGCATGTTCTCAGGCAAGAATATAAAAAGAAAAAAAAATAATAAACTGAACATGGAATTTCATGTAATTCTTACGAGTCACTAAGTGCTTTTTTGGCAACCATTTAAAAATGTGAACTCTGCCCTTGTTTGGTGTGGCTCAGTGCATTGAGTGCTGGCCTGCAAACCAAAGAATCACCAGTTCAATTCCCAGTCAGGGCACATGCCTGGGTTGTGGGCCAGGTCCCCAGTAGGGGACATGTGAGAGGCAACCACATATTGATATTCTCTTCCTCTCTTTCTCCTTCCCTTCCCTTCTCTCTAAAAATAAATAAATAAAATTTTAAAAGAAGAAGAGAAGAAAAACTTAAGAAAAGTGATCTCTGCTCTTAGCTTGCAGGCTGTATACACAAACATGGGGCCGACCAGACTTGGCCCGAGGCCCAGTTTGCTGACCTTTGTTCTAGGTCAGTGGTTCTTGGATTTGCGGGTGTCTGGGAATCGCCTGGGGCCTTGTTAAAACTGAGCGTTGCCATATCCCAAGGTTCGGACTCGGCAGGTCTGGGTAGGGCCTGAGCTTCTCTCTCTTGGGCCAGCCCCAGGTGGTGCCCCGGTGGCAGGACAGGGCCTGTGGACAGACCTTGCTGTGGACGGGGGTGGGAAGGGGCAGGGGGATCTATGTTCATCATGAAAGATGAGGTGGGGAGCCTCTGGAGACAGAAAGGGCCTGGGGACAGGCCTCCCTGTGCCCGGAGCCCAGCTCTCCCAGACCCAGCATGTGCTCGGGACACCGCCAGAGCTGCTGGCCCCTAGTGGACACCTGAGTGGGAAAGGGCAGCCCTGTGCTGGGGGAGCTCATCCTGGACTCCCTGCCTGGCCATTCTGACCCTGAGCGGACCCAGTTAGTGGGCTCAGTCAGATTGTTCATGAATAGACTCACCCACCTGTGTTAGTTCATGCTGGTGCCTCCTCCCACAGAGAGTGCGGCCTCGAGTGTGCCCCTGGCTGCATGTCCCAGGGACCTGGACACCCTTGTAGAATTGCCTTGGTAGTTGAAATTGTTCCAGAATCAGGATGGCTCCTGTTCATGCACATAAGCTGCCAGCAGAGGGCGATATTGCCCTTCTCCAGACCATGCTGCCTGGTTATGCTGGGATCCCCACTCTGTGGTCCATATAGGGGTTGTAGGATGAACTCTCCAGGTTTTTACTTATGAGCCTGGAAGCATATCCTTTGGAGTGCCTCCCATGGTATAGAGGACACCAAGAGGAATTCTCTCGGGTGAAGCGCAGGGTGTCCGTGATCGGGCCCTGCCCCTGGTGAGTGGGAGCCATTGGCCTGCCCCTACCTGAGCCTCTGTGGGCAGGGGTTCCACGTGGCTTCCCCAAGATGTTTACACATCTTCCTGCAGTGAATGCTCCACCTGGGTACCCGTTGGGGCTGAAAGGTCGATTCCCTGGGCCCATTTCTTTCTCTCTTTTTTAAAAAAAGTTTTATTTTTAGATAGAGGGGAAGAGGGAGGAGAAAGAAACATCAGTGTGTGGTTGCCTCTGGAGCGCCCCCTCGTGGGAACCTGGCCCACAGCCCAGGCATGTGCCCTGACTGGGAATCGAACCAATAACCTTCTGGTTTGCAGGCTGGTGCTCAGCCCACTGAGTCACACTAGGGCCGGGCCCGTTCCTAACTCACCTTTGGCTCTTGGTCAAGATTTGATTCACTACTTGCCTTGGCCACATCTCAGTCTTGTGGGGGAGGTGGGTGGGGCTGGGACCTGACGAGCCCCTACCTGCCAGGATGCCAGGTGCAGTGATCAAGCCCAGACAGGGCAACACACACAGTGGAAGCTGGCGAAGCAGGCAGCTGCGTGTGGGACACGCCCCCAGTGCTGCTGCTGAAGGCAAAGAGCAGTGACATGGTTGTGCAGGCCTGGCGTGGCCCTTCCAGCGTGTCCTTCCCCACATCGGTCATGTGACATGGGTCCCACAGGTGTCCTAGGGCTGGCCTGGAGAGCTGATGCCCTCGAAGCCTTGGATTAATTCCAGAGGGAACTAGCAGGGGGCAGTGTGACCCTAATGCCAGCAATGACACCACAGACAAGTGTCAGAGCCAGCTGTGCTGTTGGGGCGACTTGAGGCTGCCGGCGCCCCATGGGTTGGGTGCGCCCAAAGGGATCAGGGGCTCCCGCCACTGCGACACCATGCCTGGTTGGTCTCCATCAGTCCCTGCGTCAGCCCGTGGGGAGGGGGCCGCCCACTGGCGTCATCAAGATGGCCTGGGCTGCGCTGGGCCATCGGGTGAAGCTATGTCGCCCGCGTGCCCTGGCCCTGAGTACCCTGCTCTCCCCCAGGCTATGCTCACTGGAAGGGTCAAGTGCTGAACTCGGATGAGCTCCACGAGGTGTACGAAGGTCTGAAGCTGAACAACGTGAATAAATATGACTACGTGCTCACGGGTAGGGGCCCTGGGGAAGCGGGTGCTGGTACCCGTGAGCCCTGCTCCAGCAGTGGGGCGCTCGGGAAGCCCCAGAGCAGGCCCTGCCCCAGGCTCGTCCCTGGCCCCTCCCTCCTCCAAGGAGAACTCGGTTTTGTCCAAGCCAAGTCACACCTCTGGGACCACACTGGGGTTGCAGTGTCCATCGGGTGGGGTGGGGTCCAGTGGGCTGTTTGGAAGGGGTTGGCCCCTCCCCCAGTGAGCGGCACACTCCCACCTGGCCCAATGGTCTATTTACATACACTTTTGGTTTAAAATTAAAAAAGTAACCTTGTATTTGTATACGTGGTTAAAAGTGAGCGTGCTTACTGTTGAAATGAATGGGACAGAAGAACATCCCATGTACACCTGTCACCCATGGCTTCTGCCTTTCACTTAAAACTCAGCATTGCTTTTGGGAAGTGCCCAGTGGCCCTTGTGGACTGCACGTGTAGGGGACACTTGGTCTTCACTGTGGTCGCAGCATGGTTTTGATGGTGCCTCTGTTTCCCTTTGCTGGGCTCGGTGGCTGTGAGCCTTCTGTTTTATAAGGGTGGCCTGATCTCCCTCCCACAGGGTACACAAGGGACAAGTCCTTTCTGGCCATGGTGGTGGACATCGTGCAGGAGCTGAAGCAGCAGAACTCTCAACTTGTGTATGGTAGGCACTGGGTCTGAGCTGGGCTGCCCCCCTGCTGGAGTGGGGCCCCTTGGGGACCTGTGCACAGGTGCTCAGCCTCCCTCTTGCTGGGTATCCTAACTTCATGGTCCACCTCCCAGCCTGTGAGCCCCGAATCCACCAGGTCTCCGGGGGTGTGAGCCTTTAGAACTTGGGTTAGAAACTTCTTGACTGTGAACCTGGCATCTGTGTAGGGCGTGTGAGGCAAATGAGCTGTGTGCCTGTGCGTGTCCATGTGTGAAGGCCAGGCTGCTGGTCCCTGCAACTGGGGTGGGGGGTGGAATGAATGCCTGGGGTAGCCTGGATGACAGAATGGGAAACACCAGGTAATGAGAGAAGTTAGAGTGGGAGACCATGCTTTTCTCAGCTTCGAGGTACAGTTGCAGTTGAACGACCAAAATCATGTGAAAGTCGCAGGTTTTGCTAATAAATTGCCCTTTGTGTTCCCGCAGTGTGTGACCCGGTGATGGGGGACAAGTGGGATGGCGAAGGCTCTATGGTAAGTCATTTTACAGCTGTGGCACGCACTGCTGTTGCTGCCAGTCCAAGGGCAGGCAGGACACCTGGCTCTGCCTGGGCTGGGTGCTGCTCTGGGAGGAGGCGGGGCCTGGGTGGGAGGGGCGGGGCCTGGGCGGGAGGGGGCGGGGCTGGCAGAGGAGGTTTTCCCAGAGAGCCAGAGAGTCTGTCTCTTGGGGCCATGCATCCCTGCTGCAGCCAAAAGCAGCGACTTTGCAAACCATGGGATGGAGCAGTTTCCTAATAAAACTTCGCAGACAGACACAGATTTGAACTTCCTGCCATTTCTGTGTGTCACCAAGTGTCACTCTTCTTTTTTTTTGACTTGTCCCCCAGTGTTTAAAAAGTGTTAGAATGGCTCTCAGCCCATGAGCCACGCACAGGCAGGTACCAGGATAGGCAGTGGGCTGTAGCCTGCTGTCCCTCAGTGGGCAGAGTGGGCAGCAATGTGCAGCGGAGAAGGCAGGATGCCCAAGAGTGACCACCCCGTGCCCCTCATGGTGGCCAAGGGTGTTGGCGGTGGAAGGAGTGCGCCCGACCCTCCCCCAGGACCCCTTGGAGCGCTTGGGGTCACCACACGCTACCCGTCTCTGCGGTCGGGTGCCGGGTCTCTCGTGGGGGCCCCGAGCTTGGCTCCGAATGCTGGGTCTCGTCTCCTCCTCTTCTGTGTGTGACAACCTGTGTCCTGTGTCCTTTCTCTGCAGTACGTTCCGGAGGACCTCCTTCCCGTGTATAAAGAAAAGGTCGTGCCAATTGCAGACATTATAACCCCTAACCAGTTCGAGGCCGAGTAAGTGACTAGAAATGGCTGAAGCTTTCAGACCTCCCCACAGAAGAGTGACAGAGACAGTGTGGGAAGCGTGCCTGGACCCCCCTGGGGCTTGCATTCAGCTCCTTGGAAAGTCCTGCCCCAGGGTGGGAAGGCACCACGGCCAGCCCTGCGTCCGGTCGTCAGCGGTAACATGCACGTACTTCACCCTGACTCCCCCCCCCCCCCCGTGCCTGTCACGCTGACCCCAGCAGTGCTCTTGAACAGCAGAGCAGGCCCCTTGGGGACACCAAGGGGGGAAATGGCGCTCTGGCACATGGCTGCCACAGGCCACGAGGTAGAGAGTCCACCCCACCGGCACAGGCGGTCCTGCCAGAGCTCTGAAACCCACATCCCCAGTCACCCTTGCTGGCCCGTGTGCCATGCCATGGTCACGAAGGGGGTGGAAGCACGGTTCTTCCTGTTGTTACAAGTGCACATCAGTCGCAGTCTGGAATTCCGCATGCCCTGTGATGTGCGGTCCCCATTTAAAACTGAAGTTTATTCTTTTTTTTTAAAGGTTTTATTTATTTATTTTTAGAGGGGAAGGGAAGGAGAGAAATATCAATGTATGGTTGCCCCTCGAGAGTCCCCTGCTGTGAACTGGCCTGCAACCCAAGCATGTGTCCTGACTGGGAATCGAATGGCGATCATGTGGTTCGCAGGCCCGCACTCAATCCACTGAGCTACACCAGCCAGGGCTAAAGTTTATTCTTGACTGTACCTCAGATAATCCACGGCGACCACTTGGTCTGGGATGGCCTGTGATGGCCAGCTGGCCCTGAGTCAGTTCCCTGTGGCAGTTGGGGGTGGGTGCCAGTCCTGCTGTACTTCTGGAAGCTTGATAGGCAGTATCCAGCTGGTGAGCGATGCCTCACCTGTGCCCACCTCTCCTTCAGGTTACTGAGCGGAAGGAAGATCCACAGCCAGGATGAAGCCTTAGCGGTAAGGAGACCTTCCAGGCCCTGGTGTGGCACTGGAGGTGCTGATCACAGTGGGGAGGGGACAGCCACATGCCCATAAAGTGGGAGACAGGCCCCCTCAGCGGCCATAATACCAGACTCTGGTCGGCTGCCTGGAGGGCTGGGGGGATGCACTGCAAATTTCCCTTTGGCCACCTGGTTGGTCCCTTGCAGCTTCGTGCTCTGTCAGGTCTGGTGAACCCGCTGCCTGCTCTGCTTGTCACAGCAGCCCCTGTCTGAGCTAACTGGGGTGACCAGGACAGAGTGTCAGGGAGGGAGCCCTCCTGCTTGGAGGGTCCCCGAGCCAGATGACTGTGGGGCTGGAAAGAAACAGTCCAGGGGGACAGGCACCCCTGGTTATGAGAAGGACAGGAGACTCACATATTCTACCCCCACAGTGCCACCCCCAGAGTTGGTGCTGGGCAGCTGGCCTGCCGACGTGTGCATGCGTGTTTGTGGGTGTGCACGTGCATGGTGAGGAACCCTCCTGTGAGAGCCCACACTCGGCTGGAGAGTACAGGGCACCCCCGTGCAGCATCACAGGCACCCTCCACACAGCCCACAAGGAAGGTGGGCCCTCCTGCAGCCCTTCTGAGAGGTCGGGCCCTGGTTGCTGCAGGACTCCCAGCCTGAAGCCCTGGGCTGACGGGAGGGACAAGGCTTCCACACTGGGCCTTGGGTGAGCAGGCTCCTAGGCCAAGGGTCTGAGACTGGGAGACCATGTTAGTGCTCTGGCACCAGAAATTCCGAATGTGTGTGCACGATTCAGGGCCCGTGTAGGAGCCTTCCGTACAGTGGTGGGCGTCCTGGTGGCTTAGGGCACTGGTGCTGGTTCTGTGGGAGGCTGACAATGGGCCCATTGCCTGCCACTGGGCCCTTCCACTTCCCACCCCACCTGTGTCCAAGCCTGGCCCCCTGCTCTGGTTCAGCTGGCACTTTCCCAAGGCCTGACTTGTCCTCAGTGGGTATTCTGCCACAAGGCATTGTGCTCTGGAGGGCAAGAAGCTCCCAGCTCCCAGCAACTTACTGGGCACATGGCAGCAGGTGTTTGTTGAATGAATAAGTGAGTGAGTGAGTGGCTTCCCAGAGTGGACCTGTGCTGGGAGCTGTTGTGGCTTGGAGTTTGCTCTGTGTGGGTCCCAGATGAGGAAGGATGGTAGGCCCAGTCTGGTTGGCACCTCTATCCAGAATATAGGCACCCATAGTGTGCAGATCGGGGTGGTGAATATGTACCTTCATACTTCAAGCCAGAGAGAATGGGGAGAGTGGCTTTCACCTGGCAGAGCTGTCACTGAACAGGAAAGGGCGGGTCAGGGCTGGCTCCCAGGTTCTCTGTCACCTCCTTCCCCATTAGACCAGACCCCGTGAGAGTGCATGAGGGGTGGGAGTGCTGGCCCTGCCTGCCTGTTCTGGGTAAGAGGGTGGGGGGCAGGAGCGATTGCCTGCGCTGTCACAGCTGAGTCAGGAGTGGCTGACGTGCTCCCTGTGCCTGGCAGGTGATGGATGTGCTACATTCAATGGGCCCAGAAACTGTGGTCATCACCAGCTCCAACCTGCCCTCCCCAAGGGGCAGTGACTACCTGATCGCCCTGGGGAGCCAGAGGATCAGTGAGTCCCACACACACCCCGCCTTGGCACTGAGCTCCTTCCCGCCTTTCCCCTCCATGCCCTGCAGCCTTCTGAAAAGGCTTGGGGATTAGGAGGAAGAAAACCATGCCTTACTCAGCAGGGAGTCTCTTTCCTTCACTCCTGTCACTCCCTGCCCTGCCCTGCCCTGTCCTGAGAAAGGGGAGGTGGAAAGCAGGATGGGGGAGGGTTTCCATCAGCAGGGCCACAGTGGAGCTTGGGGTGCGGACACCTCCCCCACAGTCAACCAGCACCCAGCTGGGTCCAGTCAGCCAGGGAACCAGGTGTCCACAAGCCTGGCCCCCACAGAACAGGGACTGGTGCTGACCTTACAGGGCGAGGCAGGGCGGGGGTGGGCAGCACATAGAGTTCACTGTGTTCTCACCAACCACTGGATTGGTGCTCTGTGCCCCGCCTCAGACTGACTCAGGAGGCTGGGGTCACACTCCTGCCCCGGGGAGCAGCTCCACAGGCACCTTCTCCCTGCTCCCTGGCGTCTCTGTGCAGGAGCACACATGCACACCCCCCTCACACACTCATATACACTCTGATCCACAGCACGAGGGCACTTGAACACACACACAAACACTCGTGTCCTTGCTCACTCACATACACTGACTTCAGTGAGTTCACATAGTCCCTTCAGCTCTAGGTGCCATGGTCGGCCCAGGCTCCCTCCTAGGACCACGAGAGTGGGCCCCTTGTCATCCACACAGTGTCCCCCCAGACCATCCTGACCACAGCCACCTGCGACTCTCCTCATCTTTCCCTTTCTCCCCTGGGACAGAGAAGCCTCTGTGGGGCATTGGGAGCAGAGGGCAGGCCTGGAGCCCTGGGTTCTGTTCAGGCGAGCCGCCACGGGTGACATTACCCACCACAAACAGAGCAGGGGACAAGTGGGGAGGAGGGCAGGCTGGGGCCCAGGCTGGGTTGGCCGTCTGTGGTGAGCATCTGGGGTCCCAGTGTGCCATGCTATCTCCAGGGCACACTGACGGCTCCGTGGTGACCGAGCGCATCCGCATGGACATTCAGAAGGTAGATGCCGTCTTCGTGGGCACTGGGGACCTCTTCGCTGCCATGCTCCTGGCATGGACACACAAGCACCCCAACAACCTCAAGGTCAGCAGGGCCTGCCGCCCATGCTTTTCCACCAGTGGATCTGTTAATCTCTTTGAGGAGTGGTTACCATGCCCAGTGGGCTGGAGGGGGACAGGGGTGACCATGAGCTTACACACATGTGGCCCTGGGCAGGCAGTGGTTTTGTGTCATGTCCCACATCTGGGTGGAATCGCAGCCCCTCCCTATGATTCATGAGCAGGGGGCCTGACCTGGCCCAGGGAGTCCAGCACTGAAATCCGGGCTCTCAGGACCGAGGTGCTGCAGCCTCAGCTACAGGAGCCTCTTCCACCACCGTGGTCCCTCTGAGCGCATCCTCAAATGTAGTCACTGAGCTGAGGAGTGAATCTGGGTGCTGTGTCCCTCCTGTTCGTCCTGCAGTCCAACTCAGGACTCGGGGCTGGTTCTTTGACCTTCTGTACTGCGTGTACTTTGCGGTGTCTTATGAAGTCATTTTGTGTGACGCCTGGTCGGCTCACAGCCTTGTCTGTCCTCTGTGAACCTCCTAGACATGTAGGGCAGGTGAGCCCTGCCGTCTCTGAATGTGGGAAGAGCAGTTGCAGGTGCAGGGGGCTGGTAGGAGACAGGAGCCAGGCCTCTGTCTGGTTGGGTGCCCTCAAGGAAGAGGGAGTTTGGTGGTCGGGACCTGGAAATGGATTCCCCTAAAGCTGTTTTTGTGGGTCACCCGAGGCAGGGTCCGTGCCTCCCCAGAACATCTGAATGTGGGCTCTGAGTGTGCATGCAAAGCTTGCCCGGGTGCCCCCTCTGTCACCTGCCAGTGGAAGCAAAAATGCACTGTCATCTGGGCAGCATCACCCTCTCCTCCCTCCCCTGGGGGCCAGCCTGCTGCAAGTGCAGACCCGCCAGTTTCACTGGCATCAGCAGCAGCTCTGTCTGGTCCAGGCAGGAGCACCATGGTGCCCAGAGGAGGCCTTGCTACTGGGCCTCTGAAGGCCAAGTCTGGGTTGGGGGCGGTTTGAGAGGGGGTCCTGGGCCCCAGGTTCCGGGACAGAGTTCTGTTGGACTCCCTGGTGCCTGCTGAGCTCCAGGTCTGACTCTCTGACTGTGAGACTCAGAGCCATGACTCTGGCTGACCTTGGAGCATGAGGTCTTTCCATGTTGATTTTTCATACTTTATTCATCCCAGAAACACTTACTAAGCACCCACTATGTGCCTGGCAGTATCATTGTTCCTGAGTCACACCAGAGGGGGCAGTTAATTGTGTTAAGCAGGCATCTGCTCATCTCTTTTCTGTGGGGAAAGGCCCCGCCAGGTGGAGAATGATGGCTGAGCCAGCATCCTCATGACTCAGACAGCAGAAGGGGCAGACAGCACTCTGTCTGGCAGCTGTGGGCAGCACAGGGGTCAGAGGAGCCTGAGTGTGGCGGTCCCCCTCCCTGCAGGTGGCCTGTGAGAAGACGGTGTCGGCCATGCACCATGTTCTGCAGCGGACCATCAAATGTGCTCAAGGTAGTGCTGGCAGGGCCCCTGGACGCCTTTGCGCTACTGACAGCCTCCTGCATCTGGGGCCTTGGGTGGAGAGGGGGAGGGAGGCAGCACTCAATTCACCGTGGTGGCGTATGATTGATTCTGGTGTGACTGGGGTCCCTCTGGCTCCCTCTGTCCCCCTGACCTTGGCCTTTAGGCGTGGGGTCTGTGGGCCTACTTTGCCTGTGATACTAATGCTTTGTCTGCTCCATAGCCCAGGCTGGGGAAGGACAGAAGCCCAGCCCAGCCCAGCTGGAGCTGAGAATGGTCCAGAGCAAAAGGGACATCGAGAACCCAGAGATCGTTGTCCAGGCCACGGTGCTGTGAGGGCCGCACGTTCCAGCCACCTGACCCACAGTGTGTTGGCGTGTCCGTCTTCATCCCGTGAAAAATGTGACGTCTGCCTTAGAGCTGTGACTGAGAGTCATTGTTTCGTTTTTTGTGAGTGTCCAGCATCTACTGCTCTCAATCGTGAAATCGTGCCAGTCATGCTTTCTAAAAATAACGAATTGATCACAGAAATTCATGATTTGGAAAACCAGCTGCCCTTCCCCACTAAAGCTCCTGGGCCTCTCTGGAAAACCAGCTCTGTGACCACTGTCTTGGGGGTGTCCTCCCCAGCTGGAGGGTGGCACTTGGTGTGAGGGGCAGCTGCCCCCAGAGAGTCACATCATCTCCCACCATTGCATGACCCCCTGACCAATGTGGGCCTGGGAGGTGGGGGCAGGTCCCGGGTGGTGGCAGCCCTGTCTGTGTGTCTCTGGGAATGAGTTCAGTGTTACCCATTCACATCTGGAGGAATTCTGCCAAATACCTTTATTGTCATTCTGGCCTTTTTCTCTCAGCTCCTGCTTCCAGACTTTTGTTTCTTTTCTGCTTAGGAGGCCGCTGGGCATTTCAGATGTTCTGCTTCTGTATCCACATCTGGACACGTTAACACCAGATGGCCCAGAGACACACAGGCCTGCACAGTCACTTTGGCAGGACCCCCAAAATTCAAGTCAGTGCACAAATCTCATTTCCAGGACCCCCAAAATTCAAGTCAGTGCACAAATCTCACGAGTATCAGCAGGACCACCCTATAACGCACAAGTGACTCTAGGGACCTTCCAGGTGCAGAGGTGCTGGCATACCAGCAGAAGGATGGCTGGCCCAGGGCCAGGGTGTCTGGTTAGGTGCCATGCTGGGCTTCTTCTGGAAGGCTGGCCTAGTTTGTGGTACAACAGCTTAGGAACTGTGTGACTGCCACCTGGTGTTGGTGACATGCCTTGTGCTACAGAGTGAGTGTACAGACAGGTACGGGGGCGGAGGTGGGCTCCTGCTCCCGCTGGTGGCTCATTTCCCCTCCAGGCCCTGGTATTAGTGCAGTTGTCTGCTGCCTGCTTGACCTCCTTTGCTGGCTCCATTAGCCCAGGACTTTGGGGTACCCGAGGCATGGCTGCAGGCAGGAGCGTCCATCCTGAAGACTCAGCCTGCTTGGTCTCAGCACCCTGCCCCCACCCTGGGGATGCAGAGCATTGCCCCTCCTGGGAGCCCGCACATCTGCGTGGTGCATTCTGCACTCTGTAGAAAATGCCCTAAAAAGAAGAGCTGCCACTCCCTGGTGACCCCTGGCCCTGAGCCCCACCATTCACTTCCCGATGTCCACACTCGGAGCTGAGGTTGTCCCAGGGGCCTGTGCACAGGTCAGGCCGTCTGTGACACCCAGGCCCCACTGAGCCCCAGGGCAGAGCCTGGCCCCTTGGTGGCTGCAGGCCCCCCTGGACCAGGAGGAGGAAGGAGTGGTGTGCAGCACAGCCGGGGGCTGGCTTCTCAATAGTTGCCCATAGGAACCACCCAAAGTCCCCCAGGGCCCTCGCTGGGCAGCACCTAGAATGGAATCTGTCACCACTGCCAAGAAGAGCTGGGGGCTGGCCGAAGAGAAATGGTTTCTCATTCTTGTGTTATTTCATTTTCAACTTGGAGAGGATGTTTGTTCAAGCTGGGACAGTGAACCAAGCAAGAGCTTAGGAGACAAGAAGCAACAGGTGAGAGCCTAGGCCAGGCTGCTTGGGCTCCCTGGAAGGTATGGACAGGAACTGAGCAGAGATGGGGCCATTGCAGCTCACTTGAAAGTCAGTGATGGGGAGCCCTCAGGGGCCAGTTCAAGGGGAAGCCTGGGATGCGCTGCCGCTGCCCCATTGCTCCCCTGGTTGTGAGTCTCATGGGGCTCCTTAGAGTTTAGGAGCTGCACGTCTGCTGGGGAAGAAGATGGGGAAGGAAAGGCACTGGGGTGCTCGAGGGGGAAGGGCCTTCTTTTTAAATTTTATTAGCAAGAGCAAGTATAGGGCTGGGGAAAGGACCCAAATGTATCTGTGATCCATGAGATGGTGAAAACCCACCAGTAAAACATGGTTTGGGTGTTGGGCTTGTTCCGTGTGGACAGTGAATTTGAAGAGGAACATACTCCTCAAACACTGTGAGATTCTTGGCTCTTTAGTTTTATTTCCCAGGCATGGCCCCCTTGAGGTTCTGTTCTTTTCCTTTCCTGTATTTATACACAGAAGGCTGAGACTTTTTCCACCCACAAACTTAAGTGGGAACCAGGGACTCAAGCTACACCTGGACTTTTCCTTTCCCTTTGGTTTTAAAGCTTCAACACGCAGAGATGGCGTCTCAGGGGAGATGCTTCGGGCTTCTGTGGGAGTCTGAGCCCGTGTTCTTATGCCCAGGTTGAGGAGCCTGTGCTCTCTCTGCTTGTCTCTACACCTCCCTGTCCCATTAGTTCTGGGGAAGGAGGAGGCTGTGGAGGAGGCCCCAGAAACTTCTCCGTGTGGAATTTCCCACCCAGACATTAAGTACAGCCCTGGGAGTTATACCCACAGGTTGGGTCCAAATCAGAATTGATCTTTACTGTTTTTACTTACATGGCTTAGCGACACGCAAATGACTGTGTTAGCATTGGAGGTGGTGGTTGGAGGGCAAGTTCACTGCCGCCCAGCATGTCAAACTTCCGGCGGCCCTGCAGGATGCATTACCCAGCAGGTCCCGTGTGTTTTAACCCATCTTCATCACCAAGTCCCGCTACGGTAACTGTGTTAGTCGGCCTCATCTTTGTAAAATGCATCATTGATGGTGAAAACGGTGCTTGTCCTGCTCTTACACTTGTTGGAAACAGTCTTCAGGACGTTTAATTTTCCACTGACGGCGTCTGGCTCAGCACACCTGCCCAGAGGTGGGGAGGGTGTCCGAGTGTTGAGGACGCAGGCCAGAGCGCATGGCCTGCACCCTGACCCCGGAGTCCTGATGGAACGGCCGCCCGGACACCGTCTTCATCTGTGTGACAAACACGTGGGAGCTGCAGCTTCCTGTGCTGACTGGTCGCTGGCCTCTGCCTCAGGCACATCTGCCTGTTCAGTGTGTTTCCTGACCTTGATGGGACCACCTGCTTCCTGGGTCGTGGGGTCCCGGTCTGTGTGTATCAAGACACCACGTGACTGAACTGTATTCAGAGCTGGAATGGCCAGGAATCACTGTCTTCCCTCTCTGCCCCCCACTGATCCCTGGGGCCATGTCCACATGCGTCTGCCCCCAGAGCCTCCTGGAACCTACCTGGGACAACAGGAGAGGAAGGGGGGAGAGTTAGTGAGTGTGCAGGGTGGGTTATGTGCAGCCGGGGTGTTGTGAATGTGGCCAACTGTCTGTGTCTGGGTGGGAGGCACATTGTCCCAAAATGGATTTCCCCCCCAATGGCACTGCTACTGAACCTGCGGGTTTCTCCCCGGGCCACCTCCCAAAGCCCACGGGATGTACAGGAGCGGGGGCCCTGTGTGTCCCGTCGGTGGCAGCCCCACAGGCTCTCCCGGTATCACTCGTCCTGCTGTCTGGGAGTCCCAGGGACAAGCCATGCTGGGGGGGGGGGCGGGGGGCTCACAGTTCTTATAGTACATGTGTCTTCTTGTGGATGTCTGCAGTTTATTCTCAGTGCAAAATGTCTTCTGTTTCACTGATTAAAAAACAATGTCTGATAAACCATATTCCTGCCTTTCATTAGCAGTCTGGGCCCACCACACAAGGGGTGTCCGTTCTGTTCACAAGACAGACCAGTGAGTGACTTTAGGTCTGGCTTAGAGAATATTTTGAGATTATATTGATGGCAGGCTTCTCCTAGAATTTTCTTTTTAAATGTTGGAAGCGTAAGCAGGTGTTTAAAGAGCTTTCTCTTGTTCGGCTGTTGTCCCACAAAGGAAAGGGTTGCTGGTTCAACTCCCAGTCAGGGCATTTGCCTGGGTTGTGGGTTCAGTCCCCAGTCGGGGAGCGTGTGAGAGGCAACCAGTCAGTGTTTCTCACATTGATGTTTCTTTCCCTCCCTTCCCCTCTTTCTAAAGAATAAATAGCCCTGGCTGGTGTGGCTCAGTGGATTGAGCTTGGGCTTGCGAACCAGACAATCGCTGTTCGATTCCCAGTCAGGGCACAGACCGGGGTTGCAGGCCAGTTCCCAGCAGGGGATGCGCGAGAGGCAACCATACATTGATGTTTCTCTCCCTCTCTCCTTCCCTTCCCCTCTAAAGATAAATAAATAAAATATTAAAAAAAAGAAATTCTAAAAACAAAAAAGAATAAATAAAATCTTTTAAAGATAAAAAATAAAAGCTTTTCTACTGTGTGAGCCAAGCAGAGCCGCACACTCACAGTGAGGCTTCCCGCCCACCTCTGAGCCCTGCTTCCAGTGGTCATGTGACATGAAACCCCAACCTGCAGCCTCCCCTCCTCCCTGGCCCCGCACCACAATGGGCAAGTCTCCATCTTTGTGAGACAGGAAGCCCGTTCTGTAGGAGATGCCTTCCTGAGGCCTTGGGTCACTTGCCCTGGCTGGGACATTGGCCTGCAAGTCAGCCAGAGAGAGAGGGCCGTTCCTTCCAGGTGGTGCCACCCTGGGGTGACACTGTGACCCTTGTCTTGGTGATGGGAGGTATAGATGTTAACATGTAAGGAACCGGCAGAGACTCCCTAACCTCCAGGTAGGCCTGGTGGTGTTTTGAATGCTAATTGAGAACTTGAGTTGGCATTGTAACCAATGATTGCAGAACTGGACCAACAGGTGGCCTGAGTTGCTGGCTGGGAGCCTGGCCAACACTATCCTGGTCCTTCTGGGAGAGGAACTTGGGGTCTGAGGCTTCCTGGGGTATAATGCAGCCTGGGAACAGAGACCGTGGCCCCAGGGTCCGGGGTGTCAGGGGTTCAGTCTCTGTGAACTTCAGGTGATGGTTCCGAAGGCCCCGTGGCAACCAGCCCTGTGCACTGTGAGCGTGTGGACGTGTTTGTAAATGTGAGATGCTGGTCCGAGGGTCAGTGTTGTGAAGGCCTGAGTGTGCTGCCCCGTTCCCATACGGTCCTCAAATGAGTGTCTTCATGCGGTTGTGGTGAAGCCTGAGGATTTCTTTTCTCCAGGGATTACCTGTGCAGTACCTGCACTGTGTTAACCAAGCTGCATTTGCTGCTGTCCCTTAAATGTCCCCCTCTTAAAGAAAGGGCCTGACTGCCTTTTGTGGCCCAAGCTGCCTCTCACCTGACTCCCACCAGTCTCCATCCTGGACGCTGCCCTGGGTGTCCCAGGCAGAGGGCCCCCAGCCCTCGGGGCTTCTGCAAGACCCTACCAGTGATCAGGGTTGGGGGGCTCCTTTCCTGGCCCATCCCTGCCACATTCTGAGGACCAGCTGTGGTCATGGATCACGTGTCACTGCCCCTTCTATGTCTAGTTCCTTCACTCCAAGGTGGAGACAGCTCTGGCTCTCCCAGCCCAGTAGGTCCTATCCACCCTCCCACCCCTGGATACCAATCCTGTGTTCATCCCCAGGGGACTGGGGCAGCTGGAGCCATGCAAACTGTGACTCTCAGGTACGAGGGCCCCTTGTCCACTGTCTTCCTGGTGCTGGGGAAAGATGGCACTGACCAGTGACTTGAGGAGTGCTTAGTGAAAGGGCCATGGACAAGCATGCAGAAAGGGGGAGCCAGCACCCCCGGGGGCACACAGAGGGAAAGGGAGCTATCACCATCTTAGCATGAAGCACTAACTGGCAGCCAGTTCAGTTATCAGAACCTCAGGGCACCAAGGTTCCGAGGTGGTCTCTGCAGCTGTTGGTTGGAGGACAAAGGGCAAGGGAATCCCCACAGGCCAGTGCCAGGGCCCTGGGTAGGCAGAGGAAGGGCTGGGTGGGCCTGGTGGGCAGAAGAGCTGCAGCCCAGCGTTGGTACCCCAAACTGGCTGTGGTCTCTCGTCCTGTGCTGTGTTCTTGTTGAGGGGAAATTCAAAGGACACACACCTAGCCATCCTAAAGTGCACGCCTGGCAGCATTGTGTGACTGCCACCAGGGACACCTCATCCCCACAGGAACACCCTGTAGGCCTGCAGGGAGGTCTGCCTCTGTGGGAGCTCCCTGCCTGCAGGGCCCCTGCTTGGGCCCTGCCCGCCCCTCAGTGCTGCCTCCCTGTGGCCGACCCTGCAGGACCCCGGGTGGGAACTGTGCTGGGTCTTCACTTCATTGCCAAACTGCTTTACTGGTGGCCAAATCGAGAGCATGTTGTAACAGTGTTTTATTCTTGCCCTGGCTGGTGAGGCTCGGTGCGTTGGGTGACGTCCTGCAAAGTGAAGTCACTGGTTGGATTCCTTCTCAGGGAGCATGTCTGGATGCCAGCCGGGTCCTGGGCCAGGGGTATGCCATGGGCTACTTATTAATGTTTCTCTCTCTCTTTCTCCCTCCCTTCCCCTCTCTAAAAATAAGTAACATCTTGAATGATCTTGACCCACACAGACACTTCACCCGTCCTTACTCTTATCTCGGGGGTACCCTTCTAATTCTACTTTACACAAACTCACAGGGCAAACCAACCAGCGGGCTGACCTCACTGACAGGCCCTGCCCCCTGCTGAACAGAGAGCACTGCTGAAACAAGTGCTCTTAAGATGCTCTGGCTTCTGGCAGCTACAGCTGAGCTCTGGATGAGCTGGACAGTCTTCGAGGATGACAGTCCTCGGGGCAGCTACAAGCTTGTTTGCAGGACACTTTGCTCCCTGCAATGTCCTCACACCTGTGAATCATCATGGAAACTTGAAGTATGTGACCAAGAGGACATCTAGAGCTAATCTAGAATTGGCTCTCTCCAACGCTTTTATTTATGGGGAAACCACGACCCGGAGACAGGACCCCGAGTCCAGAGCACAGTGTACAGAGCTGTAGTGGGAACAGACTCCCATCTGAACACTTCTACATGGTGATTGTGGTTTCAGATGAAGAAAAAAAAAACACAATAAAGGAGGAAATTTGCAAAGGCTTTAAAATATGTGTATTTAGAGCTAATGTAAGCCCTTCTGGAAAGCAATTTAGTTAAGGCATTGATTGGAGAAAAATCACAGTATTTCAAAGCCAGAAGCAGAGACACTCACTTGGTATGGAGCATCCCCTCCAAGAAAGGGGCACAGGGTAGTGACATCGATCATTTATGTCTACAGACATGTAACCAAACAGGGCAGAAGACCACATGGACAATGGGCTCAGTCCAGAATCCAGAACTAGAAATACTCCAGCTCGTCATCCCTGGTCTTGTTGGTCTGGTAGTCATGCAAGGCCAAGGGCTTGTTTGCATGTGGGAGACTTTTATACACTCGAAGGTGTACGAAGTCATTGTTTCCAACTTGAACCTGCAAAGAGAGTCGAGTGAGGAAGAGAGGCAGGTGCTGCCTCTGACCTCAAGTCCCCAGACTCGCCTGGACTGGGTGAGAAAGCCCCTGGGTGTGTGGAAACTTAGTCCCTTAGAGCATCTGCACGTAAGTTGGTGACACTCCCATCTTCCTCCCTCAGACATAGCAGATGCCCATCGCCCCAACCAGCACCCTTGGCACCCCACATTTGTCCCTTGAGAACCCTCAGTTGCCTGAAGGCTCAGTCCCCTTTTTCATCAAGGCCTACATGGGTGCACACACATCATCACTTTAAAGAGGACAGATACCCTGAAGCCGGGGACTGCCACAAGACCCCCTTTAACACCCCTGTCCTAGCACCTACAAGCTCCCCTCCCCTCCAGGTCTTGCAGGTGCACCCTTGTAGCTGGTACTCCACCTTGATGAAGTAGTTTGTCCCGCCGACCACCTGGCTCTGGTACTCCACAGCCTTGAACATGGTGTACTTCTTGTTTTCCTTCTCTTCCAGCTGGGACTTGACCTAGGGGATGAGCCAGAAGGGGAAACTCAGCGGCTCCCTTCCTGCAAGAGTAAGTACCTGACACATGAGCTTCTGTCTGAGGCTCCCGCATTTGTAGATGACATCTGAGGATGCCCTGCCTGTGGGCAGAGGCTCAGGCTAATCCTAAACCTCAAACAGGAATCAATTATGTGTTTGGTTCAATCCTGTCTCCCAGGATCTTGCCCTCTTAGTAACTGAGCATCTTTATGGAGGAAGGAGAAAGCAGGCTTGGTTTTTAAATGGACTTTTTCTTCATTTAAAATCTAATCTGCTATCTAGATTAATTAGTAGGCATAGGAGCAGGTTGGCTTTGGCGGTAGTGGCTATTAGTTCTAGAGGGTTAGAGGATTTTAGTCAGGGCAGCCACAGGAAGCAGGTTAGTTGCTGGGAGCCAAGAGAGATCACCCTCATCCACAAGCTGATGAGTCACTGTGGCCACCCTGCACCTTCAGGGAGGGGCCCACCCCAGGGATGAGAATGGGAAGGAGAATGCACTCAGGGTGGGAGGGAGGGTCAGGTAGGAAAGGGCAGGCCGGTCCCACCCTTCTGAAGCCTTGGGAAAGCAGAACAGTAAGGAAGAGCTGGGCTCTGAGCAGTGTGGGCTCTGAGCAGTGTGGGGAAGACAGCTCCATCCGAGCTGGCTGGCTCACCATGCAGTCCCTGCAAATTTCTGTTCCTTCTAGTTTCATGGGACTATCTCACCAGCCTGTGCTATGGTCAGATGGTCTAAACCACCAGGGTAAAGAACAGGAGCTTTCAGCATTCCCTCAGGTTATAGGGGGGAAAAGCAGGGGAGGAGACTTACAGGAGAAAGAGGTTTGTTTTGCTTTTCTTCTCCCCAAGCCTTCCTGTGGCCCTACCATTCCCCCTTCCCCAGAACCTTGTGTGAAAGCACCTTAGTGATGCCCTCTTTACACATAAGAAAACTGAGGCACAGGAATCAAGCAGTGCCTGGTTTCTGTTTTGTGTGAAAATGCATAGTTGGAGTTAGTTTCAAACATACAGAAGGACTGTAAGTTAGGATACCCTTCCCCAGGTTCACTGACTGTTACCTTCCACCCCACCTGCTCTATCTCCTGGTCTGTGCTTTTTCCTTAACCAACTGAGGGCCAACATGCCAGGACCCTCATTATGAGCGCTTTATTGACCTCTTCCCAGAAGGTGAGGCCCTTCTGTCCCTGTCCCAGCCTTGCCCCACCAGCCATTCCCGAAGTTTTTTCAACCACGATCTCTATTTCCTGGTGGGCACTGCCGTGCTTTGGACAGGGCCAGACCAACCCCAAGCTCGTTAGGACCCAGCCCACCTACCTGGTCAGCGATGGCCTGGATCTCAGCTGTGGCGGGCTTGGTTTCGGAGGTCCCACCAGTCATCGTCCCTCCACAACTCATGGTGGGTCAGTGGGCAGAAGGAAACAGCAGTCAAAAAACAGTGCAGGGCAGGTGTAGCTGGTGGTGGGTACAACCATCTGCCTTAAATCCACCAGGTTGCATGATGGGAGGGCCGGACCACGGGAGGGCGGGACCCCTAGAGGGCTCCTTAGTGGGAGAGGTTGGGTGGGGCAAAATAGGTGAGGGGCGGGGGCACTTCCATTCTTCCCTTAATTACCTGAAAGCATTTAGATAGGGAGCCTGGTTCAGAGAGAGAGCAACAATGTATGTATATAAAAACACATATATATGTAATATATATATATTTTTTCAACCTGAGAGTCACCTACAGAGTCGGGTAGACACATCTGAGTATCAAACACCCGTCTTCCCATCTTCCATTGATTGGCTTTCCTCTTACCAGACCTGAATCAGGCCCTCAGCTCTGGATGGTTACACACCTGAGCTGCCAGACAGCCTTTGGGTCTCATATCTTTATGGGGCTCCATATGTATGAAATTATATTTGTTTTTCTCCTGTTATCTGTCCCACTTCAAATTAATTATTAGACCAGCGAAAGAACCTAGAAGGGAAGAAGGGGGGATGTTTCCTCTCCCATAGCCCTGCAGTGCCAAGGGCACGTAGCCCTGCGTGAGTGGGTGTGGCCCTGGAGGGGGCTCGCAAACTCTCCTGTACACACCAATGTAAAAGGACTGTGCGTTTGTCCATTTTGCTCCCTAAGCCGCAGGAGGGGCGGGAATGGGTCATGGGCAGACGTGGCCACTGGGGCTATGCAGAGGAGAGGGGGCTCTGTTCTGGCGCTGAGATGGGCATGGCCCTGCAGGGTAGATTGGGGATCATAGGTCTAATTAGGAGTGAGTGGGCTTTTAGAGGAGATCAGGGGTCACCCCATAGGTGGGTGGTAGGGATGGGGGTGGGGGTGGCCCTGGAGAAGCCCTTGAGTGGCCCTGTCCACATGGGTAACATATTACCTGGGTGGGGGGGACCCAGGGACAAGTGGGAGCTGAACCAGAGAGCCAGAGAGGACAGAAGAGAGAGAAGCCTGTGCCCAGTGGGCACCAGGAGTAGCCAAGGGAAAGGGGCAGGAGCCGCCAGGGCGTCCTAGAGTCTAGGATCGGTTTCTGCCTGATCTTCTTCCCAAGTGCATTGGACGACCCTGTACCCCTCATCTGCAAGGCCCAGCCAGCGGCCCCCCCTTGTGCCAGCCACTCTGGATGTCACCACTGAGTGACCCAGGGACACAGCAAAGGGCTGACATGGGTGAATGGAGGAGGCAGCATGGAGTCCAGTGATGAGATGACTCTGAGTGCCTCAGGCTGGGGTGGGAGTGGACTCCAGCTGCACCCTCTTCCCCCGCTCCAGGGCCTCACCCAGGGGAGGCTGGGCACCTCCCCACTCAGGTGCTGGCTGCCAGACAGGCCCAGTCCTGCCTCCTGGAGGCTCCATTGCAGAGCCCCAGGGGGAGTGGCCCATGAGCAGGTGTGGGGGGAGGCAAGCGTTTCAGGTTCCTGCCACAGAAGAGCCTGGTGTGTGACCTTAGGGAAGGATGGGAGGTCAGATGTGGTGGAACCCTGGAAAGAAGGGAAGGAAAGCCCCCCAACAATTCATATATAAGTAAATGAATGAATGTAGCACAGAAAAGGGACTACATAGCAGACCCAACAAGCTCATGGGACTACAAGGCAGGCCCGAAAAATTAATTTCTGAAAGGATCCACACAGGGTGATCTGACGTGAATCCCTGGCTGGGCAGGTGGTGGTGAGTAATCACGTTATAGGCATATGCTTCCTTAGCAAAGGTCAATCTTTACCTTCAGTAAGCCCTGCCCATTGTTCTTATGCATCCAGGGTAACATACCTTCAAAAAGTCAGAGTAGCTTCCTTTTCCAGGCCCTTTGTGGGCATAATCAGAGTGGCAACGGTGGATGACCTGGAAGCCTGTTACCTTGCTGCCCACACACCGTCTCTATTCACTGTACATGTTCCATGTTAACTGTCCTGCACCCACTGATGTGCAAGAAGAATGTCTCTCCATTTTGTTCCCCCCACGTGTTGTCACAGGTCCTTGCTGGGGAGTTCAGCATGGCCTGTGTGACTCCACCTGGAGAGGATGGTGGACACTTCCTCCTGGTGTCCCCTGGGATCTCTCCCTGTGCCTTTTTCCTGTGCTGAGTGTGCTGTGTATCCTTTTGCCCGAAAAGCTCAGAGCCCTGCATCCTCGTGGCCTAGCAGGTCATCGAGCCTGGGCTTGGAGTTCCCTGACATGTGGTCCTTCATAGAAAAAGTCTGCTGAGTCCATTCTGCATAAACATAAACACCATATGGACACACCTAAGAAAATAAGCAATTATTCTGCACTGTACTCTACAGCGACTCACAATTGTGTTGTTTTCTAGTGAGATTCCTTTGCTCATGAAGGGAAGAGCCATAGTATAGAAATCTCGGGGTACAGGAGCCATCAGGGCTGGTTGCAGTCCATGACCAGAGCCCTCCCCTCACCTCTGAGCTGTAGCCCCCCTGTGACCACATGGTGCTCCTGGCAGGCGGACATGACCAGTCCGGTGCCAGCCAGCTGCTGTTGGAGGACAGCAGGCGTCCGTCCACCTGGCGATGCTTCTCTGAAACCGGAGGCAGATGTTGAACTTGACCACCAAGCCCTGTCCTTCAGGAAGCCTGTGTTCAGAAGTCCCTGTTGATTCCACTCCCTGTGGGATCTTTAAAAACGCTTCCCCGAGAACTGGCTCTCGTGCCGTGCAGCCCACCCACTTCGAGCCCACCAGGCTGTGCTTCTCGGTGTGTTTGGAGCTGTGTGACCGCCACCGCAGTCGACACAGAGCACGTTCACCCCAGGAGACGTTTTTAGCTGTTGTCCTCCCTGCCCCAGTCACCACTCATCTTTCTGTCTCAGGTCCCCTGGCAGGACTGTAGAACAATTGGGGTCCTGCAGCGAAGGGGAGGGGGGTCATGTCTGGCCACTTTCCCTGAGCACGAGTTCAGCGTTCACGTTGCAGCACGGGTCAGAACCACTCCTTTCATGCCTGGGTGACATTCCAACATGGGCATGGGCCATGTGTTTATTTGTCCATGGGGGTTGTCCCCTCCTGCCTCCCCACCCTGGTTCCTGGGACTAAAACTGCTGTGAGCACAGGGTTCTGAGGGGGCTCGACTGGTGTTGGCTGAGGACCTAGGAGTGGTGGCCGTGTTTGAGTTTTGGTTTCTTTTTAGAATTTTGAAGATTTATTTTAGGGAAGAGGGAGGGAGAGAAACAATGTGTGGTTGCCTTTGGACTGCCCCCTACTGATGACCTCGCCCATAAGTCAGGTATATGCCCTGACTGGGAGTTGAACCAGCGACCCTTTGGTTTGCAGGCTGGTGGTCAGTGCACTGAGCTGCACCAGCCAAGGCCCGTGTTTAACTTTGAAGAGCTGCCAGACCGTCAGTGGCCAGAAGATCCAGAGCCAGGATGAAGCCTTAGCGGTAAGGAGACCTTCCAGGCCCTGGTGTGGTACTGGAGGTGCTGATCACAGTGGGGAGGGGACAGCCACATGCCCATAAAGTGGGAGACAGGCCCCCTCAGCGGCCATAATACCAGACTCTGGTCGGCTGCCTGGAGGGCTGGGGGGATGCACTGCTAATTTCCCTTTGGCCACCTGGTTGGTCCCTTGCAGCTTCGTGCTCTGTCAGGTCTGGTGAACCCGCTGCCTGCTCTGCTTGTCACAGCAGCCCCTGTCTGAGCTAACTGGGGTGGCCGGGACAGAGGGTCAGGGAGGGAGCCCTCCTGCTTGGAGGGTCCCCAAGCCAGATGACTGTGGGGCAGGAAAGAAACAGTCCATGGGCACAGGCACCCCTGGTTATGAGAAGGACAGGAGACTCACATACTCTACCCCCACAGTGCCACCCCCAGAGTTGGTGCTGGGCAGCTGGCCTGCCTACGTGTGCATGCGTGTTTGTGGGTGTGCACGTGCATGGTGAGGAACCCTCCTGTGAGAGCCCACACTCTGCTGGAGAGTACAGGGCACCCCGTGCAGCATCACAGGCACCCTCCACACAGCCCACAAGGAAGGTGGGCCCTCCTGCAGCCCTTCTGAGAGGTCGGGCCCTGGTTGCTGCAGGACTCCCAGCCCGAAGCCCTGGGCTGACAGGGGAGGGACAAGGCTTCCACACTGGGCCTTGGGTGAGCAGGCTCCTAGGCCAAGGGTCTGAGACTGGGAGACCACGTTAGTGCTCTGGCACCAGAAATTCCGAATGTGTGTGCACGATTCAGGGCCCGTGTAGGAGCCTTCCGTACAGTGGTGGGCGTCCTGGTGGCTTAGGGCACTGGTGCTGGTTCTGTGGGAGGCTGACAATGGGCCCATTGCCTGCCACTGGGCCCTTCCACTTCCCACCCCAGCTGTGTCCAAGCCTGGCCCCCTGCTCTGGTTCAGCTGGCACTTTCCCAAGGCCTGACTTGTCCTCAGTGGGTATTCTGCCACAAGGCATTGTGCTCTGGAGGGCAAGAAGCTCCCAGCTCCCAGCAACTTACTGGGCACATGGCAGCAGGTGTTTGTTGAATGAATAAGTGAGTGAGTGAGTGGCTTCCCAGAGTGGACCTGTGCTGGGAGCTGTTGTGGCTTGGAGTTTGCTCTGTGTGGGCCCCAGATGAGGAAGGATGGTAGGCCCAGTCTGGTTGGCACCTCTATCCAGAATATGGGCACCCATAGTGTGCAGATCGGGGTGGTGAATATGTACCCTCATGCTTCAAGCCAGAGAGAATGGGGAGAGTGGCTTTCACCTGGCAAAGCTGTCAATCGTCAAAGCTGTCACTGGACAGGAAAGGGGGGGTCAGGAGAGTCTCCCAGGTTCTCTGTCGCCTCCTTCCCCATTAGGCCAGACCCCGTGAGAGTGCATGAGGGGTGTGAGTGGTGGCCCTGCCTGCCTGTTCTGGCTCAAGAGATTGGGGGCACGAGGGATGGCTTGGCCCTTCACAAGTGACTCAAGAGTGGCTCTCTTGCTCCCTGAGCATGGCAGGTGATGGACGTGCTCCATCAATGGGCCCAGAAACTGTGGTCATCACCAGCTCCAACCTGCCCTCCCCAAGGGGCAGTGACTACCTGATCGCCCTGAAAAGTCAGAGGATCAATGAGTCCCCTGCCCGCCCCGCCCTGGCACTGAGCTCCTTCCCGCCTTTCCCCTCCATGCCCTGCAGCCTTCTGAGAAGGCTTGGGGATTAGGAGGAAGAAAACCATGCCTTACTCAGCAGGGAGTCTTTCCTTCACTCCTGTCACTCCCTGCCCTGCCCTGTCCTGTCCTGTCCTGAGAAAGGGGAGGTGGAAAGCAGGATGGGGGAGGGTTTCCATCAGCAGGGCCACCATGGAGCTTGGGGTGCTGACACCTCCCCCACAGTCAAGCAGCACCCTGCTGGGGCCAGTCAGCCAGGGAACCAGGTGTCCACAAGCCTGACCCCCACAGAACAGGGTCTGGTGCTGACCTCACAGGGCGACGCGTGGTGGGGGAGGTGATGAGGGTGCACATGGAGCCCCTGGGTTCTCATCTCACCCAGGAGCACTGCCTGGGTTGGTGCTTTGTGCCCCGCCTCAGACTGACTCAGGAGGCTGGGGTCACACTCCTGCCCCAGGGAGCAGCTCCACAGGCACCTTCTCTCTGCTCCCTGGCGTCTCTGTGCAGGAGCACACATGCACACCCCCCCTTACACACTCATATACACTCTGATCCACAGCATGAGTACACCTGCATGCATGCAGAGACACACTTGTGTACTTCCTCACTCACATACACTGACTATTAAGTTCACATAGTCCCTTCAGCTCTAGGCGCTATGGTTGTCCAGGCTCCCTCCTAGGACCAGGTGAGCTGGTCCTCTGTCAGGCACACAGTGTCCCCCCAGTTTGTCCTGACTATAGCCACCAGAGATGCTGCTCATCTTTCCCTTTCTCCCCTGGGACAGAGAAGGCACTGTGGGGCATTGGGATCACCCAGCAGGCCCTGAGCCTTGGGTTCGGTTCAGGTGAGCCGCCAGGGGTGAAGTTACTTGCTGGCCTGGCCCAGCCCAGGGAGTTCAGCACTGAAATCTGGGCTCTCACTCAGGACCGAGGTGCTACAGCCTCAGCTACAGGAGCCTCTTTCGCCACAGCGGTCCCTCGGAGCCCATCCTCAAATGTAGTCACTGAGCTGAGGAGTAAATTGGGGTGCAGGGTCCCTCCTGTTCGACCCGCAGTCCAGCTCAGGACTCAGGGCTGGTTCTTTGACCTTCTGTGCTGCGTGCACTTCGCAGTGTCTTATGAAGTCGTTCTGTGTGACGCCTGGTCGGCTCACAGCCTTGTCTATCACCTGCAAACCTCCTAGACATGTAGGGCAGGTGAGCTCTGCCGTCTCTGAATGTGGGAAGGGCAGTTGCAGGTGCAGGAGGCTGGTAGGAGACAGGAGCCAGGGCTCTCGTCTTGTTGGGTGCCCTCAAGGAAGAGGGAGTTTGGTGGTCGGGACCTGGAAATGGATTCCCCTAAAGCTGTTTTTGTGGGTCACCCGAGGCAGGGTCCTTGCCTCCCCACAACTTCTGAGTGTGGGCTCTGAGTCTGTGCAATGCAAAGCTTGCCTGGGGTGCCGCCTCTTTCACCTGCCAGTGGAAGCAAAAATGCACTGTCATCTGGGCAGCATCACCCTCTCCTCCCTCCCCTGGGGGCCAGCCTGCTGCAAGTGCAGACCCGCCAGTTTCACTGGCATCAGCAGCACCTCTGTCTGGTCCAGGCAGGGGCACCATGGTGCCCAGAGGAGGCCTTGCTACTGGGCCTCTGAAGGCCGAGTCTGGGTTGGGGGCGGTTTGAGAGGGGGTCCTGGGCCCCAGGTTCCGGGACAGAGTTCTGTTGGACTCCCTGGTGCCTGCTGAGCTCCAGGTCTGACTGTCTGACTGTGAGACTCAGAGCCATGACTCTGGCTGACCTTGGAGCATGAGGTCTTTCCATGTTGATTTTTTGTACTTTATTTATCCCAGAAACACTTACTAAGCACCCACTATGTGCCTGGCAGTATCATTGTTCCTGAGTCACAGCCCCTCACCAGAGTTATCTGTGGTCCAGAGGGGGCAGTTAATTGTGTGAAGCAGGCATCTGCTCATCTGTCTTCTGTGGGGGGAAGGCCCAGCCAGCTGCAGGTGATGGCCGAGACAGCACCTGCCTGACTCAGCCCAGACGGCACTCTGGCAGGCAGCTGGGGGCAACACAGGGGGCAGAGGAGCCTGAGTGTGGGGGTCCCCCTCCCTACAGGTGGCCTGTGAGAAGACAGTGTCGGCCATGCACCATGTTCTGCAGCGGACCATCAAATGTGCTCAAGGTAGTGCTGGCAGGGCCCCTGGGTGCCTTTGTGCTCCTGAGAGCCTCCTGCATCTGGGGCTTGGGTGGAGAGGGGGAGGGAGGCAGCACTCAATTCACTGTGGTGGCGTATGATTGATTCTGGTGTGACTGGGGTCCCTCTGGCTCCCTCTGTCCCCCTGACCTTGGCCTTTAGTCATAGGGTCTGTTGGCCAACTCTACCTGTGATGCTAATGGTTTCTCTTATCCATAGCCCAGGCTGGGGAAGGACAGAAGCCCAGCCCTGCCCAGCTGGAGCTGAGAATGGTCCAGAGCAAAAGGGACATCGAGAACCCAGAGATCGTTGTCCAGGCCACGGTGCTGTGAGGGCCGCACGTTCCAGCCACCTGACCCACAGTGTGTTGGCGTGTCCGTCTTCATCCCGTGAAAAATGTGACGTCTGCCTTAGAGCTGTGACTGAGAGTCGATGTTTCTTTCCATTTGTGAGTGTCGAACATGAACTGGTCTCAATCGTGAAATCGTGCCAGTCATGCTTTTTAAAAATAACAAAGTGATCACAGAAATTCATGATTTGGAAAACCAGCTGCCCTTCCCCACTAAAGCTCCTGGGCCTCTCTGGAAAACCAGCTCTGTGACCACTGTCTTGGGGGCGTCCTCCCCAGCTGGAGGGTGGCACTTGGTGTGAGGGGCAGCTGCCCCCAGAGAGTTGCATCAGCTCCCACCATTGCATGACCCCCTGACCAATGTGGGCCTGGGAGGTGGGGGCAGGTTCAGGTGGTGGCAGCCTATCTGTGTGTCTCTGGGAATGAGTTCAGTGTTATCCATTCACATCTGGAGGAATTCTGCCAAATAATTGTATTGTCATTTTGGCATTTTCTCTCGGCTCCTGCTTCCAGACTTTTGTTTCTTTGCTGCTTAGGAGGCCGCTGGGCGTTTCAGATGTTCTGCTTCTGTATCCACATCTGGACACGTTAACACCAGCTGGCCCAGAGACACACAGGCCTGCACAGTCACTTTGGCAGGGACATTTCCAGGACCCCCAAAATTCAAGTCAGTGCGCAAATCTCACGAGTATCAGCAGGACCACCCTATAACGCACAAGTGACTCTAGGGACCTGCCAGGTGCAGAGGTGCAGACACACCAGCAGAAGGACGGCTGGCCCAGGGCCAGGGGTCTGGTTAGGTGCCATGCTGGGCTTCTTCTGGAAGGCTGGCCTAGTTTGTGGTACAACAGCTTAGGAACTGTGTGGCTGCCACCTGGTGCTAGTACATGCCTTGTGCTACAGAGTGAGTGTACAGACAGGTACGGGGGCGGAGGTGGGCTCCTGCTCCCGCTGGTGGCTCATTTCCCCTCCAGGCCCTGGTATTAGTGCAGTTGTCTGCTGCCTGCTTGACCTCCTTTGCTGGCTCCATTAGCCCAGGACTTTGGGGTACCCGAGGCATGGCTGCAGGCAGGAGCGTCCATCCTGAAGACTCAGCCTGCTTGGTCTCAGCACCCTGCCCCCACCCTGGGGATGCAGAGCATTGCCCCTCCTGGGAGCCCGCACATCTGCGTGGTGCATTCTGCACTCTGTAGAAAATGCCCTAAAAAGAAGAGCTGCCACTCCCTGGTGACCCCTGGCCCTGAGCCCCACCATTCACTTCCCGATGTCCACACTCGGAGCTGAGGTTGTCCCAGGGGCCTGTGCACAGGTCAGGCCGTCTGTGACACCCAGGCCCCACTGAGCCCCAGGGCAGAGCCTGGCCCCTTGGTGGCTGCAGGGCCCCCTGGACCAGGAGGAGGAAGGAGTGGTGTGCAGCACAGCAGGGGGCTGGCTTCTCAATAGTTGCCCATAGGAACCAACCAAAGTTTCCCCAGGGCCCTGGGCCGGGCTACATCTTTAATGGAAACTATTGGCACTGCTGAGTAGAGCTGGGGGCTGCCGAAGAGAAAAGTTTTTTATTCTTCCTTTATTTTATTTTTTAAAATATATTTTATTGATTATGCCATTACATTGTCCTATTTCCCCTCCTTCATTCCCCTCCATCCTGCACACCCCTCCCCCACCATTCCCCCCTTTAGTTTATGACCACGTGTCTCAAGTTCTTTAGATTCTGTATTTCCCATACCATCTTGCCCTCCCCCCTATCTATTTTCTACCTACCATCTATGCTACTTATTCTTTGTACCTTCTCCCCCCTTCTCCTCCTCCCACTCCCTTGTTGCTAACCTTCTATGTGATCTTCATTTGTATGGTTCTGGTCCTGATCTAGCTGTCCTCTTAGTTTGCTTTTGTTTTAGGTGTGGTTGTTAATAACTGTGAGTTTGCTGTCCTTTCACTGTTCATATTTTTTTTAATTTTTAAAATATTTTATTTATTTATTTTCAGAGAGAGGTAAGGTAAGGAGAAAGAGTGGGAGAGAAACATCAATGTGTGGTTGCCTCTCATGCGTCCCCCACCGGGGACTTGGCCTGCAACCCAGGCACACACCCCGACCAGGAACCGAACTGGCAACCTTCTGCTTACAGGCACGTGCTCAATCCACTGAGCTACACCAGCCAGGGCTCACTGTTCATATTTTTATCTTCTTTTTCTTAGATAAGTCCCTTTAACATTTCATATAATAAGGGCTGGGTAATGATGCACTCCTTGAATTTGACCTTATCTGAGAAGCACTTTATCTGCCCTTCCATTCTAAATGAAAGCTTTGCTGGATAGAGCAATCTTGGATGTAGGTCTTTGGCTTTCATGACTTGGAATACTTCTTTCCAGCCCCTTCTTGCCTGTAAGGTGTCTTTTGAGAAATCAGCTGATAGTCTGATGGGAACTCCTTTGTAGGTAACTGTCCCCTTATGTCTGACTGCTTCTACGATTCTCTCCTTCATTTTAATCTTGGCTAATGTATTAAGATGTGCCTTGGTGTGTTCTTTGGTGGGCCCAACTTCTTTGGGACTCTCTGAGCTTCCTGGATTTCCTGGAAGTCTATTTCCTTTGCCAGCTTGGGGAAGTTCTGCTTAATTATTTGTTCAAATAAGTTTTCCACTCTTGGCCGTTCGTCTTCCCCTTCTGGCACCCCCATTATTTGGGTGTTGGAATGTTTAAAGATGTCCTGAGGGTTCCTAAGCCTCTCCTCATTTTTTTGAATTCTTGTTTCTTCATCCTTTTCTCTTTGGTCATTTTTTTTCTTCCTTCTGGTCCACTCAATTGATTTGAGTCCCAATTTCTTCTCCATCACTATTGGTTTCCTGTGCATTTCCCTTCATTTCAATTAGTTTAGCCTTCATTTATTCCTCTAACTTGTGACTAAAATCAACCAGATCTGTGAGCATCCTGATCACCAATGTTTTGAACTGTGCATCTGATAGGTTGGCTATTTCTTGGTCGCTTAGAGTTATTGGCTCTGGAGCTTTGAGTTCTTGAGCCGTAATGATTTGGTCTGTTCGAGCCCGCCAGGGCAGGGCAACTCAGTCACTGGATTTTGACACCGTATGTGGGGGCAGGGTCAAAGAGGGGCAATAGCAGTCCCCTCTGCTGCTTCCCACTGCTGGGGCCCTTGAAGTCCATCTCATTGCTTGCTCCTTCGTCTGGTTTGGCTGTGCTCGAATGTGTGACCGCGCTCAGCCTGCTGCTATGTGCCCTCACTAGGTCTGCCTGTCGCAACCCCACACCTGGAATCCGCCAGCCACCACTTGTGCACCTGGGTTTATCTGGCCGAGTTTTCCTTTGCAACCCTGCCCTGCCAGTCACTGGCTCCGCTGCTCTTACCGGTCTAGTTGAACGGTTCATTGTTGTTGAACTTCCGTCTAGTTCAATTCTCTGTGTTTTGGTTTCGTTTCTTTTTAAATAAAACTTTGTTGTCTTTAAACTTGGTTGTGCAAGGAGGTACAGTGTTTCCACCTACGCCTCCATCTTGGGCAGAAGTCCTTTTATTTTATTTTTGACTTTGAGAGGATGTTTATTCAAGCTGGGACAGTGAGAAAAGCAAGGGCTTAGGAGACAAGAAGCAATGGGCGACAGCCTAGGCCGGGCTGCTTGGGCTCCCTGGAAGGTGTGGACAGGAACTGAGCCGAGATGGGGCCACTGCGGCTCACTTGAAAGTCAGTGATGGGGAGGCCTCAGGGGCCAGTTCAAGGGGAAGCCTGGGATGCGCTGCCGCTGCCCCATTGCTCCCCTGGTTGTGAGTCTCGTGGGGCTCCTTAGAGTTTAGGAGCTGCACGTCTGCTGGGGAAGAAGATGGGGAAGGAAAGGCACTGGGGTGCTCGAGGGGGAAGGGCCTTCTTTTTAAATTTTATTAGCAAGAGCAAGTATAGGGCTGGGGAAAGGACCCAAATGTATCTGTGATCCATGAGATGGCGAAAACCCACCAGTAAAACATGGTTTGGGTGTTGGGCTTGTTCCATGTGGACAGGGAATTTGAAGAGGAACATACTCCTCAAATACTGTGAGATTCTTGGCTCTTTAGTTTTATTTCAGAGGCATGGCTCCCACGAGGTTTCGTTCTTTTACTCCCCTTTATTTATAGACAGAAAGATGAGACTTTTCCCCACCCACAAAGCTTCAGTGTGAACCAGAGACTCGGGCTGCACCTGGACTTTTCCGTGCCCTTTGGCTATAAAGCTTCAACACGTGGAGATGGGGCTCTAGGGGAGACACCTCAGGCTCCTGTGGGAGTCTGAGCCCGTGTTCTTATGCCCAGGTTGCGGAGCCTGTGCTCTCTCTGCTTGTCTCTACACCTCCCTGTCCCATTAGTTCTGGGGAAGGAGGAGGCTGCGGAGGAGGCCCCAGAAACTTCTCCGTGTGGAATTTCCCACCCAGACGTTAAGTACAGCCCTGGGAGTTATACCCACAGGTTGGGTCCAAATCAGAATTGATCTTTACTGTTTTTACTTACATGGCTTAGTGAGACGCAAACAACCATGGGAGGTGGTGGTTGGAGGGGAAGTTCACTGCCGCCCAGCATGTCCAACTTCCGGCGGCCCTGCAGGATGCATTACCCAGCAGGTCCCGCGTGTTTTAACCCGTCTTCATCACCAAGTCCCGCTACGGTAACTGTGTTAGGCGGCCGCATCTTTGTAAAATGCGTCATTGATGGTGAAAACGGAGCTTGTCCTGCTCTTATACTTGTTGGAAACAGTCTTTAGGACGTTTAATTTTCCACTGATGGCATCTGGCTCGGCACACCTGCCCAGAGGTGGAGAGGGTGTCCGAGTGTTGAGGATGCAGGCCAGAGTGCATGGCCTGCACCCTGACCCCAGAGCTCTGATGGAACGGCCACCTGGACACCACCTTCATC